CCCCCCCCCCCCCGGGCCACCCCGAGTTTAGCAGTTTTAGAGTTTTAGAGTCTATCAGTGATTATAATAAGGCGAATGTTATTTGATTTTTTGCTCGACAGGTTGATCATCAATCGTTGTCAGGCGAAGAGTAACGTTGACCTCCGACCCTAACTTTAGCCTCATCCGATTACATTGTCAGCGGAGGGTCGCTAAAACTTATTGTCGCTGTTTACGGCACCCTTACTTTTTATTTGAGGTCATTCAGGGTAGGACGAGGGGGGATGAGTCGTATTCGGCCGCGTGCCCGTTATATAAATCGAAGGAGTGTTCCCCCTGATGAGCGTTGCAGAATCAGTGATCAGCGTTACGTAACGTTGATAGGCGCAAAATGTGCACAAACCCGGGATAGTATGAGCCTCACTGCCTTGCTGAGAAAGAACGCCGTATGGACAATCGAGAGTTGCCAAATTTCCATCGATAAAATGTTCATTTTTGAGGGGAAGTCATGAATATTTTCCCTTGAAATTTTCAGCAACTTCAGGTGAAATTGCAAGCAAAAGTACGACCTGAAAAATCGGACAGAAAATATTCGTAAGTTCACCAGGAAATTCGTGTTTTATCGAAGGAAATTCGGCAACGCCTGGAGGCTCATACGGCGTTTTTCCTTAGGACGGCAGTTCACTCGCGACCGTTGCGTTGCGTAACGGCAAAAACCGCCAATCAATGTGATTGGCGGCGACCGCCTACCTTTGACGGTTAACCGGGGAAAATGCCATAGCCCGTCCCGTCCCGGCCGCCCATAAGCGATCATAATCAGATCGGTGTCAAGCCACTCGCAAAGGCCTCGTCTGGATCAAGGTGCTTCATCGGAGACACCGACCAGTCCTTTGAGCTCCTCGTAAGTTATCGCACTCGAGTTAAATAGAGTACCTATAAGCGTCCAGCCCACATACAAACTAGAGGCTTCAAAGAGACTCATCGATTGCCCCGACTTAAACCGCTGGCCAATGAGAGGGCCAGGAAAGGCATCGATGAGTCTCTTTGAAGCCTCTAGTTTGTATGTGGGCTGGACGCTATATTGAGAGAGTATGGCCACTGGTGTTACCACCTCTGATTGGCTCAGCCATCTTAGGCTGAATGGAGCCCTTAGGACCCAAAAATGGCGGACGCAATAAATTGATGTAATGCAAAATGACTCAAAATATAGTTTTCTTTGCTTATCGTAACGA